GGTCTATCATACTGTCTTCATAATGTATTTTGACAAGAGATCATGAGTTGTATTAAAGGGAATGGGGAATGGATGGAGTGTTTATGGAAATAATAAATTTGCGTCGGCCTGCCACCGGTCACAACAATTTGCCTCTGCTCTGACCGCCAGCTTAAAAGGTTGAATACTTGGGCCCTTCATTAGCATGCCTGCTTTTTGAAGATTAGCATTTACATTAAGATCTATACGTTGGCCAGTCATGACTGAAGGGCTGAAACCAGCAATAATTTTGTTTTACAAGTAAAATAATAATTCAACCTTACATTCTCACAATGAAGCAAAAGTTAAAAGTGTATGGATCTCTGTATATTATATGAAATTAAAATTAAATTGTGCTAACTATGTTTCTCAACAAGAACGGTGACAACAAGAGGATAGCAATTTTTCACTAACCGTGCACTTGTCTTTGCTTTGTTGCATTTATCTGAGTTGCTGCAACTTCTGACTCATCTCTGTAGCCATGCCTTTCACATACACGTCGTGCAAGTCCAACAAGCTGCTGTTGTTTCAAAGCATTCACCATGATTGGTACTTGGTCTGTTGAGTGGTTATCTCTCCAAGTAACCAGCAATTCCATGATACGGTCTTTTACAAGTCTGTTGTTGTTTGCTATCTTGTTGATATCAGTCCACTTAAGTCCAAGACGCACTCCTAGTCTCCTCCATGAGCCAGGCTCCAGTTGGTCGCAGATGAATAGCAAATCTTGATCATCAAAACATTTTCCTATTATAAAATCATAGATTATATACAAATAATAAAATAATTGAATATGATGCTATTGACACCTGTGTTTCCTATCTGTTACTTTTGTCAACTGAGCTAAGCTACTCTCTCCGACAGTGGTCCCCAATGAGAAAAAGTGGGCGTGGTCAGGCGTCGCTGAAAATCTTTCAAAAGTGGTCCAGGGGGACAATTTAGGGGTTTGAGAAGCTTATTTAATAGATCTACTATATATGGAGAAAATACATATCATTTTTTTCCCTCCCCGACGAATTTTCTTCCTTGCCTGTATATTTTTACACAGTCATTTTGTGGGACCTTAATCAACAACAATATCCAAGGGGCAGAACTTAGCATTGTTTCGCTTGCTTTCAGCTGGAGGGCTGTTAAACTAATTAAATTTAATTAAACTAAACTATACCCAAAAAATATTGGATAAATAATTAATGGTAAAATTGTTTATAATGGTTTATTTTCTTCTCTATGTTGTTGATAAGCGCCACAAGTTTGTGACAATGTCAGGCGCTATGTAAACCCAGAATTATTATTATTGATGTTTAAACCCTTGGTCTTTGAGAAGAGTAGGGGGTTGTCTCCTGGTGTACTGACCAATTTATCACCAGAAGGACCCCATTGGAAGTAAGTACAAGACTTTCACTGGTTATTCTTGATGTGTTTCACACTGGGGAGATCAAAAATCATCCCAGCAACAGGCCCGTATCCAGGGTGAATCCCCCTCTTCAAATTTCCCAAATAAGTCCTCTAACCCAACTTACTGCACTGCAGACCCACCCAGACATGGTCGTCTGCTTTTGTAGCATTATTTAGACCCATAAAGCACAAAAATCCTCTTGCTTTGGGGGTTTTGCTGACCCCACCGGGACTTCGACCGTGGACCTCACGCCAGAACCCCCCCCCCCTTTGAAGGACCTGGCTACAGGCCTGAGCATTAATAATACATTACAAAGCACAAAAATCCTCTTGCTTTGGGGGTTTTGCTGACCCCACCGGGACTTCGACCGTGGACCTCACGCCAGAACCCCCCCCCCCTTTGAAGGACCTGGCTACAGGCCTGAGCATTAATAATACATTACTAACCATCTTTTTCTTTGCGTCTTAGATGTAATTTTGCACTAGCATGTCCTTCACCTTCTACAAGGAATGGTTGATCCACTGACAATAACTGAGATCTAAAGGCCTTGTTAGCAAGCTCGGCGAGTCCTCGCTCTGTCAAAACCCTGTACATTATTTCAACTTGATTTGTCTCGTAGTTCTGTTGTTTCCTCCATTCTGTAAGCATATTTATGATGCGATCTTGTGATAGGCTATAGTCGCTACATATTTGCTGGATCCTTTTCCAACTGAGACCTAGTCTGACGCCCACTTGTTTCCATTCCGGTCCCATGCAGTTGGCAAATTCAAGCAGGTGCTCATTTTCTAGGTAACCAAGATTTTTATCTAAAGTGAAGAAGAATACTGTACAATGAAATAACAATAGCACTAGAATCCATGAGATAGAAAATACCAATAATAATGTCAGAAACTCTAACCTGGTGCTGGGATTCCTATATCACTGGGAGTCGGTGCTTGTTGTGAAGAGCCTGCAAAGAAATATTGAAAAACATTTATATTATGTATTGTATACATTTTTATTATTTTCAATAAAGGCTAATATCTACAAAAAACACGTTATATTTTCATTGCGGATTTTTTGGGCTCAGTACGGACTCTAAACGTATGCATTTTCTTTTAGTTTTAAGGCGTATGCGGATTTTATAAGTCCGCAATGACGATATAACGTGTTAAAACATGAATTTCTGAAAATGTTTAAAACCCTAACCTGGTGGCAGTGTTGTTGTATCACTGGGAATCGGTGCTGAAATAGAATAAATAGTCAAATAAAAAATATTGATAAATAAATTAAATTTAGAGTACTGTATTAATATATTTTATTAAATGACAATATCTATACTTTTACAGGAATAATTAAATCCAATTAATGTAAGTGGGTATGTTGAATCTGTGTTACCTGTCTCTAGTTTTTTATTCTTGAACATCCTCTGTAGTTTGCTTGTTTTTATATATCTCTTCCCGCATGGAATGTAATTGTCCATCAAGCACTCTTCTAAATCGTGGAAGTGCGTTTCTTGCAGGTCTTCCCAGCACAGGACACGGAATGTATATCCTGTGTGCTTCATTCCAGATGTCAGTAATTTCA